TTCAGAAAGTTCTGTCGTTTTCTGACATTCCACTTTTGGATGCTTTATTTCCCTTGAAATCTAGGAAAGCTGCAATTGATGTTGATGTCATTTTGAAGAACTTTTCCAGCTCTATCCAATGCTCAGCACAACTTTATCCTAAAATATTTTCTTATAGCTTTTTCAAAGCTTTGAATTCAGTATACTCGAGGAGCAAGCTGGCATGACTTTCTTTTTCTAGCTTTAAATAGACCTGAAAGTGGCGGGATCAGTTCAAGATATCAACGATGCTTTGGGCCTAGATTTGCAATAAATGTGCTCAGAAGCAGTAGTTAAAAAATTTATTGTAAGGAAGGCGAGAGCCTTGAATATGATGAGAGTAGTGGTCGGACATCGGACGGTGTCTCCGATTAGCCAAAAGTTCTGATTGAAGCACTTGTGCGTAAGACCATAGAGGAGGTTCTGCCCAACGTGGGCGTATATGGTTTGTACAGCCAAGCTATACGGAAGAAGCTGGAAAGTCTAAAAAATTCGATAGTGGCGTGCCGCGACAAATCACCAATTTGAAGCATCGTCCATCAAATTGTCGCTGGTTTTATGTGGTGAAAGCGACTCGTTTCTCTACAGATTTGCGACGTACAATAAAGAGCGGATTCTTCTCTATAGTCTACGAAAGTTTGCTGAATAGATCGACGGCGATGAAGCTCTACAAACTTTGCAGAATTTAAACTGTGCTGGAGGAGGGTTGTGGCAGCTTTCATGGGGCCAGCGGCTGGCCATGTTCTTCAGTATCAGATGGAACTGTTACAGTGGAGAATCAATCTTTATACTAATTCAAAAATCATCAAAAACTCTAGGACATGGGTCCAGCATTCCTCATTATAAAGGAACACACACATCCCTGAAAGGTGTCTTGAACGCACATCGCACGGCCAACCCTTCACAAGTTGTACCAGCTGAACTTCAGAGTGGTTCTGCGAACATCTTACTTAGTAGACCCTTGAACTATCTACTGTCAAACTTCTGACGATTCTCGTATAATGTATGCGGGCCCCTAGCCAGACCTCCGAAAAAATAACGTTTTTTGACATTTTGACAATAGCTCATCTACGTTTTCATTTTTCTCAGTCCATATTTCGCAATAGCAATACTCAGCGTTTTCCCAGCGATTTTCTCAACATGGCTCACAAATGACTCATGTGAATGTGTTGACGAAAGGAGTGCACCATAACAGGCCAGTACATATGGCGCATTATCACATCAAGCACAGACCAGCGGGCTATTATGCAGCAGTTGCGGCGGCAGACCGTGTGCTGCTAAATGAAATGATAATAATAAAATAATAAACAATGAAATAATAATCTAAATGAATTGCTCTAATTTTTTTTCTTTCCCAATCAGGATTGCCAAAAAGCCACGTAATTGCAAAATGTGTGAGTTGAAAATGGAATCACTGAAATCAACCGGAACAAATTAATTTAGAGAGGGTTTATGCTTTTTCCTCTCTGGGGAGGTGCTGCATAGGCCGCAGAAAGCGCGGTAGGGCCGATGTCAGACTTTGCGAATCGCGCGATTCGCTACTAGCGATTCGCTAGCGTCCGCGGTCGCGTTGCGGTACCAGCCAATTGAGTGATTCACTGGCCGCGACGCGACCGCAGACGCTAGCGAATCGCGCGATTCGCAAAGTCTGACATCGGCCTAGCGCTTCTATTGCACGAACTACGCAACTGTTCCGACCATAGACCCCAACTACCTCTTGTATCCGCAGGGGGAGCCTGCACTACAGACCGTACAATACAAGTGACGACAGCCTCCCTTCAAATTGCTAATTATTGGTTTATAGTGATGGCTGGTAGTTGATAAATGGTAGTTGCAATCAGTAACAATTGATAGAAAACAACTGCAACCCGCTAATCATTTCGTTGGCAGAAAACAGTTATTTTGCGGAGGCCGCCGTCACATGTGTTGTGAAGTCTAACAGTGGACGCAAAGTTGGCGTACGCGAACAAAGATTAGAAAGGGTGCCGTAAACGGGTTAAGGGTCAATTCTTCAACATTTGAGTGGGCGCGATTCTCTTTCAATACTTAAATAGCCTATAAAATTATATCGAAACATTACGTGCTTGCTTGAATGAGACATTACGCAGATGGGGGGGGGGGGGGTAACGGGAACTTAGCGCGCCAGCGCGATACTATCAAGAGGCCAGGCCAACCATGCTTTACACATGGGTAGCTGAATATAGGTTCTTGCATTGGGAAGAACCGATTTCGGTAAATGCTTTTCGCTTCCCAATCCTGAACCTCCCCCCCCTCTCAACCCCCTCATACTTCGAAGTATAAGTACTCCTCTAAAAGCCTTCAAACACCACCGTATTATTTTTTTAGAATCATAAGCCACACCTGCAACTCAGCGCAGAAGGCTCGGATTTAGGCTGAAGCTTCTTCGTGCCGACGTGTCTGCCGAGTTGTTGCCTGCCGGCTGTTCCGCCAGCGACTTGCTGCCGGCCGTGAACGTCAAAGAGAAAATAGAAGTTTAAGCGGTGAGCATCTGTTTTTACTATCTGGTTTCCATTCTGAGAACTTACTACGATAAAGCATGGAGCCAGGTGAACCTGGGCTTCGCTCTTCTGTACACAAAATCCAGTCATGCAGTTATTGCGACTGTGCAATAGCCAGAATTTCACTGGCGTCGCAGGGACGTGCTTTGGTCATCGTAAATTTGGGGAATGTCTTCTTCGAATATTTCATTACTGCGTCTTTTGGAAGATGCTGCTGATGGAGGGAAGAACAAAAAATTCATCTATGTATACTGAATATAATAAAATACACTACTATAATTCTGAGTAACTCAGAGTCATTCTTGTGAGACTGATCCCAAAGTTAACTGTTTTAGTACTTGAGTTTTTTTT